CTGGATACACCTATGGTAACCAACAGTTATAGTGGTGATTCTAAAGTGAGTATCACAGCCTTATATTAAAATAACAGAGATAGAGAAGACGGATTCACCTGTCAATTGTGTTTTAAAGTCACTGAACCAGTCTGTGTGGACTCTTGACGAAAAGAGACGATTTTTTAAAGTTCTGGATACAACTATGGTGATTACCTATGTAATGAACATTTGTATATACATTTGACTTGTTTTGAATATACTATTTTTATACGAGTGGATTGTGTGCTGTCCAGTTATTGTTGAAATTTATCGCCAACAACTCATAGACACCTACTGTAAAGAATCCAGCCATATACAGAAATATACATTTATAACAAAGTTCCATATTCGAATACTTAGAAATATTTTGAAATATAGTTGCCAATAAAGGTGTATTTTTCAATTAAGAACCGAGTTTATGAAAAGGTTGAATGTTGATTCAACTCTAATTTACAAGTAGGAACTGAGTGTATGTAAATGTTGATGCGGGTGTATTTTACAAGTAAGAACTGCCATTATGGACAGGTAGAGTAAAGATGCAGGTGTATATTACAAATTAGAACTGAGTTTATGGAAATGTAGGATGCTTTATTTTTTGCTTTAGTTCTCGAATATAGCTGAGGCTTTTGGCTATTAAGCAAATATATAGTAAACGTTTCAATCATCTTATTTAGGGCTTGGTCTTCTCGACATCATCAGCTCTCTCCGTAAGACTGACGAAGACGAGGTTTTCATTCAGTGTCACGTCTTCGACAAATCGAAATTTGCTGACGATGAACATGCAGAGAGTTTAGGTTTGAAACTGACGACTAGCCACTACGATCTCTTCCAGTCCGTGTTTGACAAAGTAAGTCAAATTGTTATGACGACAAGTCACTATGGTCTCTTCCAGTCCGTGTTTGACAAGGTAAGTCAAATTATAATGACGACTAGTTATATTGTTAAACATGGACTGGACGAGATTGTAATGGTAGATGACATATCTTGTCAAATATGGACTAGAAGAGATCGTAATGGTATATTCAAACACAGACTGGAAGAGATTGTAATGGTAGATGACATATCTTGTCAAACATGGACTGGAAAAGATCATAATTGTAGATGGCTTACTTTATCAAACACAGACTGGAAGAGATTGTAATGGTAGATGACATATCTTGTCAAACATGGACTGGAAAAGATCATAATGGTAGATTAATTATATTATCATACACACAGACTGGAAGAGGTTGTAATGGTAGATGACATATCTTGTCAAACATGGACTGGAAAAGATCATAATTGTAGATGGCTTACTTTATCAAACACAGACTGGAAGAGGCCATAGTGGCTAGTCGTCATTGTAAGTTGACTTAGCTTGTCAAACACAGACTGGAAGAGGCCATAGTGGCTAGTCGTCATTGTAAGTTGACTTAGCTTGTCAAACACAGACTGGAAAACACCATAGTGGCTAGTCGTCATTGTAAGTTGACTTAGCTTGTCAAACACAGACTGGAAGAGACCATAGTGGTTCATCTACCATTACAATCTCGTCCAGTCCAATGTTGACAAATGTTATCTACCATCACGATTTCTTTCAGTCCATGTTTGACAAAGGTCATCTACCATTACGATTTCTTCCAGTTCATGTTTCACAATATAAGTCATCTACCCTTACTATCTCTTTCAGTCCATGTTTGATAAAAGCCATCTACCATCACGATCTCTTCCAGTCTATCTCTGAGAAAAGTCATCTACCATCACGATCTCTTCCAGTCTATCTCTGAGAAAAGTCATCTACCATCACGATCTCTTCCAGTCTATCTCTGAGAAAAGTCATCTACCATCACGATCTCTTCCAGTCTATCTCTGAGAAAAGTCATCTACCATCACGATCTCTTCCAGTCTATCTCTGAGAAAAGTCATCTACCATCACGATCTCTTCCAGTCTGTGTTTGACAGTGTAACTCATCTAAGATTACAATCTCTTCCAGTCCATGTTTAACGAGATGAGTCATGTATCATTACGATTTCTATCAGCCCATGCTTGACACGGGGTTGAATGCAGGTATATCATGTTCCTCTACCTTCTCTAGCAACATAGTTAGTTTCCATATTATCATGGCAGCAACATGATCATTGTCGAGAAGCTGCTTTTACTTGAAAATACCACAAAGATTAGTCATCTACCATTACAATCTCTTCAGTCCGGGTTTGACAAGGTAAGTCAACAAATTATGACGATTAATCACAACGATCTCTTGCAGTTTGAGGTTTGTTAATTACCAATCCCTCGACTTGAGGATCACCTCTACTACGTCTCACTGATATGTTTAATATGTCTTAGAAGTCCAATTCTTGAGCAAAACATCCATCTACAAAAGTTTCACGTTATTTCGCTGGGGAGGGTAGACTGTGAGTCTAGATTTCTTTCATTTTCCTTCCTTTTTTCTGCTTCATATGCACAATGCTTTGAAATGGGTTGCCACTAGTTTGAGGTTGCTGTGACACTGGTCTCGGTCAGTGGCCAGCTCCTATCTCTTGATTACGATGTCTGTTTTCTTCAGGCATGTCTTCAGATTATCTTTATAGCATTTTTTTGTGGTTACTCTAACATCCATGACTGAATTGGGAGTAAAGAACTTGTTTTGATAGGCGGTAATTAGACATCTTCCCACAGTGTCCAAGCCAGCAGATTTGTTATTTGACTACACATGACTCAATGCCAATAATGTTTGTTTCATCCTCACTGATGCTTGTTTGACAATCTTCCCATTTGATGCGAAGGATTTTACAAAGGAGTCATTGATGATATTTCTTAAGACATTAAAGGTGTCGAGATAGATAAACAACGTTTCACATCCATAGAGAAATGTGTGGATGGTGACCGCTTTGTAGACGTGAGTTTGGTGTCCTTGCGGAGATCACAATCAGTGAAAACACTCTGAAGCAGTTCCAAAGAGAGACATTTACGCATCAGATTCTGTGATGAATCTCTGCTCTAAACCACGTGGCTTGTGAGATAAAGGAAGTTCTCAACTACTTCCAGATGTTCTACTTCGGTAGTCATTTCCAGAGGGTCGTATTTGTGGTCTGGTGCAGGCTGAAAGAGCAACTTAGTTTTTGAAGGTTAAAGGAAGAGTGTCAAGGTTTGGTAGGCTTCTGGACAGAGATTCAGCACAGGCCAAAGATCTTCCTTGTGGAAAAGTGGCACAGATGTCTGTGTATTGCAGGTCAAGAATGGATGTTTTAGACTTTGATTGGCTTATAACGCTAAAAATCTGCTTTCGATAACTCCAGAGAGCAGAGCACAGATAGCCCATCGTCTAAAATTGTGCTTTACAACAACCAAACAAGCTTCAGTTTCCTTGGCAACAAGAACATTATCATTATTATTGATTTACAGGTAAGCTTCAGTCCTTTGACACCAAGAACATTATTATAGATTTATATACATTGGCATTACATAAGCTAAGTATTGCAGGTAAGCTTCCGTCCTTTGACAACAGGAACTTTATTACTGTTTTATAGAAACTGGCATTACTTAAGCTAAGTATTACAGGTACGATTCAGTACTTTGACCCCCCAAAACATTATTTTTGTTTTATTAATTCTAGTAATGCATAAGCTAAAGTATTACAGGTAAGTTTCAGTCCCTTGATTTTCTATCAAACAGTAATAATTCTCCAGTTGTCAAAGGACTGAAGCTTATCTGTTACACTTAGCATATGTAATGCCAGTTTCTATAAAACGGTAATAATATTCCTGTTGTCAAGAGACTGAAGCCTACCTGTAGTACTGAGCTTATGTAATACCAGTATCTGTAAAAGAAAAATAATGTTCTTGGTTTGGTGTCAAAGTACTGAACCTTACCTGTAATACTTAGCTTATGTAATGCCAGTTTCTATAAAACAGTAATAAAGTTCCTATTGTCAAAGGACGGAAGCTTACCTGCAATACTTAGCTTATGTAATGTCAGTTTCTATAAAACAATAATAATGTTCTTGGTGTCACGGGACTGAAGCTCACCTGTAATAATAAGCCTATGTAATGCCAGTTTATATAAAACAATATTCATGTTCCTGTTGTCAAGGGACTGCAGTTTACCTGTAATAATAAGCTTATGTAATGCCAGTTTATATAAAACAATAATCATGTTCCTGTTGTCAGGGGACTGAAACTTACCTGTAATACTTAGTGTATGCATTACTAGATTTAGTAAAACAATTATAATGTTCTTGGTGTCGAGGGACTGAACCTTACCTGTAATACTTAGCTTATGTAATGCCAGAAAAGTTTCGTCGGAACGAATTTACGGAAAATTAACTAACGAACGGAGACGTAACAATACTGAGCTTATGTAATACCAGTTTCTATAAAAGAAAATAATGTTCTTTGTATCAAGGGACTGAAACTTAACTGTAATACTTTAGCTTATGCATTACTGGAATTAGTAAAACAAAAATAATGTTCACAGGTAAGCTTCTCTCCTATGACAACAGGAACATTATAATTGTGTTTTAGAAACTGGTGTTAAATAATCAAATTATTACAGGTAAGCTTCAGTCCCTTGACACCAAGAACATTATTATTGTTCTATAGAAACTGCCATTATAGAACTCAGTATTACAGGTGAGCTTCAGTCCCTTGACACCAATAATATTATTGTTGTTTTATAGAAACCGACATTACATGAGCTAAGTATTACAGGTAAGCTTCCGTCCTTTGACAACAGGAACTTATTATTGTTTTATAGAAACTGATATTACATAGGCTAAGTATTACAGGTAAGTTTCCGTCCTTTGACAACAGGAACTTATTATTGT